ATATATATATATATCGTTGTTTATTTGTTATTTCTTATTATTTTTTATAGATATGGAGATTATTAGCCTCTATCTCTATTTACTTTTCTGCTTGAGCATTGTTGGATTTTGTCTATAATGGTCATGTGACACCTGGGAAGCATTGGAATGGAGCTGCAAGGTTAAAGGTGGGGATGGAATGGGAAGGGGGGAGGATGGAAAATTGCATACATCTCCACTGGGACTCTGTTGCCATCCTTCTTTTCTGTTCTTAATTCATTACACACAGGCCTAAGAGGAGCTTTAAACCCCCCAAAATGAATGTTCCTTATATAACCAGTGTGCTGGAAAAAGATAACCAGCTTACGTGAAAGAGGCTGTGTGTAACAGTGATTCGTAGTATCTTAGTAAAGCTTTTAAAAATTCAACAGTGGATTTTGTGATCCAGCCTGGCTGTCCGGCTAATTTCTTGCTGCCTGTGCAGATCTGCTCCCGTGACCCATTTGCTTGCATCTCTAATTTTATAAATTACCTAATAGTTTTATTTTTTAAAACTCGAGCAGTGTGTTTATTTTGGAAAATGTCCCTCATCAGATAAGAGGGAACTTCCTTTATTTTGATTGCCCTAAATTTCCTATGTTCACTTGAAAAAGTGTAAAGGTGAATTTTGAACCGTTTTTGGTGTTCTGCCTTTTTAATGAGATCTTTTACAGGACGTGTCACAGATAGCATGTGGACATCAGGTGCAAACACATTAGAATAATGAGACTGAATTCCATTCAGCCGCCTTTTAGCCCCGGGGTTCTCGTATTGCTGGTTAAGCTTATTAGTAACACCTGCACCCTCCCTGTTTTGATTAGTTGGCATGTTTGGTGTGAAAAACAGCAGTGTTGATGTCATGAAGCTGCTGTTAATAGGAAAAATGCACAAGAGCTTAAAACTAACCATGTGTGGCATCTCTTTTGGCTACATTTAACTTCATAATGGATTTCTAGGTCAAACATACTCTCAGAATTAAATGATGCTTATAGTTTTATAGCAGACAGCACATTTAAATACGTTAGTTTGAATAAAGCACAAAAGCAGCACTGGGACAGCAACATTTTAAAATAATTTATTATCACTGTACAGTACATTACAAAATAAATCAACATTCTGTGTCTTTTCCATTAAAACACTATCGTACATTCACATCTACAGCAAGAACACATGGACCACCAACCTTGGCAAAATAAATTCAATGATATATACTTCTGTAATAATATATACTGACAGAGACCCAGAGAAAGATAACATTATCATCCCCGGACTCAAAGGCTGCACGGTCGTCAGTTACCATATTTGCCTATTGTGATGTGATGTGATGGATGTCCTTGAGAAAGGTCAGTACAGAGCAGGGTGAACCCCACCAGTTGAGCAGAAGCATTTCCGCACACTGAGTGTCAAAGCGTCCTAGTTTGTGCAGAAACGATTCTGTTAGACTAATGGGGGGGTGGGAGCGGAGGCGTGTCGGGAGAAACCCGGGCTCTTTCACTTTGTGAGGCTCTTCACGATCTCCAGCTCCTCCACGGGCTTCCACTGCTGATTGATGGTGATGAGCTGCAATGAAATGCCAGAAATTTAAAAGAAAAAACATAACGAGGCTTCGTCTGACCTATTTATAAGTGTTACACTGAACAGACTTAATGATGTGGCCGCACCGGGGCTGTGCCATTAGTTGTGGTAACTTATTTTCTCTCGATGACATTAATGACTGGCGTTAATGATAAAATTCTTTCCTCAATGACTCAGCAGATTGAAGCTGCAGGAGGAGAGTCTGCTTATATTTTGGTGCTGATAAGAACCGGAAGGCTTATTAGCCAGAATATAAACATTATTAAGTGCTCTGCAATGCAATTACATTACCTTCTGGGGCTTTGACGGGTCCAGCCTCTCCCATGGCTCTGGGTTGCTGGTCTTATTCAAACTATAAACAGTAAATTTAAATGAATTTTTAAGTATTTGTACACAACAGAGTTTAAGCAGGTGTGAAAGTAAGATAGAAGTGCAAATGAATCTAAAAAACACAAGACAAATGCATTATTTTAATAAAGGAGAAAGAGCTTTGTAACACTCACATAACGTCAGGTTTAGTAAGCAGAAAGTAGATCGATGCAGAGGTGGCTCCTGTTGCAGCAAAAGCCATAAACCCTATCAGAGGGATGAGCTACAGCACAAAAAACAATCCAACAAATTAAAACACACAACGCCCCACACACAGGATATAACTCAATGCAACAGAGTAATAATAATAATAATAATAATAATGATGATGATCTTACCTCCTTCCTTTTTCTCAACATTTGGAAAAATCCAGACATCTTTCTGATTGGTTTTAAGCACTCAAAGAGGAATTAAGTGTATTTCCACTCAACTGTGGTTATTCTAAGGCTTCAAGCATCCACTTGCCAAACTGAAGAGGAGCAGTCTCACACGCAGCTATGTTGTGACAGTTTACCTGCTGCTGGGAACTCCTTTTAAGTGCGACACGGTGTGAGCTCATGAGATGGAGGCGGGATGGGAGGTTGTACGAGGTGATAAGCACGTACACAGAGAGAATTTCCTGTACTGAAATGCACCACTGGAGGTTAACGCATCTATAGATGATGATCAATATATTTTCTAAGTCTGCAGCGCCCTCCCATGGCCATGTTGTAAAAGTGAATGTCAGTAACTGGTGGTTGGGTTTCAAACCAATCTCAAAAAGGATGTTATTTGAAATGACTAAAAGAGAGAGAGAGTGTGTCAAATTTTAGAATTTATTTTTTTATTTTAAAACAACATTTGAGTAATAATACAATTTTAAGATCAGTCAAATATTATGTGTGTCATCGGGGAGGAGTTTCATATTTGTGGATCTGCTGTGCAGTCAGAGAGGAGCTCATTTTGCTGAGGGATCGCAGGAAATGCGTGTGTTTGATGTCTGAGGCTTCCATGTTCCCGTCCAGCAATACCAAAAGAGCAGCCTGAGGAAACAAAAAACAAAAGCAAAACAAACAGATATTTTCAGTTATTTCAAATCCATCCGCCAAGAAAGGATTTTACATTTTACAAGTCTAAGAACTCCAGGGTTTCATATGTTTATGTCACCTCTTTGCAAAGATTTTCCAGGTCAGCTCCAGAGAAAAGCTCGGTCTTTACTGCGAGATCCTCCAGCCGCACATCGGCACCCACAGGCATACACTTTGTGCACACCTTCAGGACAGCAAGTCGAGCCTAAATATTAGAAAGTGAGGGTCATTAAACAGAGATACGCTGACAGGAGAGGTGGTTACTTTATTTTAAATGACCTCTTCGTGTTGTAAGTCTTTCTTACAACATTGCTGGTAAATGTAATATATTTTTGTCCTGTTTTGAGAAGTCCTTTACCTCATGGTCTGGTGGTGGGACATAAATGATGTGATCAAGTCTGCCGGGCCTGAGGAGGGCGCTGTCTAAACAGTCAGGTCTGTTTGTGGCGGCTACAACCATTACATCTTTGTTGCACACTTCCTGGCAGTCCAACTGTCAAACAGTTAAAGCACATAAAGTGTTGATTAAATTATGAACAGATGGATGGATGGTGTGTCACAATGAACTGCAGGATGGTATTATGTCCTCTTTCATAAAGGATGCTCCAGTGTGTCCTCCGCTAAAAGCTGTAATAAAGGAGCTTTTAGCGTATCTTTGTTACTTCCTTTAGTATCTGGAGAATTCAATAAGCTCTTATTATGGTAAATGGTAAATGGACTGGTTCTTATATAGCGCTTTTCTACTCATCTGAGCACTCAAAGCGCTTTACACAACTTGTGCATTCACCCATTCACACCCATTCGCACAAGCACATCTTCCTAAGTGCTTCATAGCTAACATTCACAGACATTCACACTCCGATGGATGCATCGGAGAGCAATTTGGGGTTAGTATCTTGCCCAAGGATATTTGGCATGTAGACTAGGGGAAGCCAGGAATCGAACCACCAACCTTCCGATCAGTGGATGACCTGCTCTACCACCTGAGCTACACCCACCCATTATGACTGCCACACATCTACCTCACTCATTAAGAAACCGACTGATAGTGTTGACTGATCTTCAGGGCAGTTACTTTGGAAAACTGTAACAGCAAAAACCATTTATACAGAATCAGCTTTACGACTTTGCCCCAAAATAGGGTTAAAAAAACCCTTTTAAAAATTCAGCTGTTACAAGTAAATGTGGAAATTTTGGGGCCGATAGGAATAGGGTAAAGCCAAAGATCAATAGATGTCAACCCCAAACATCTGAAGTCTACCCCTGAAAAAATCTGTGCTATTTTTACATTCACCTGTGTGCCACGAAAACAAAATGAAACAAAACAAATTGGAAATTTAAGAGAAGAAACATAGAAGCTGACCTGCTCAGGTGTGTGACTCTCCTCGACTCCCTCTGCCTGGAGGATCTTCTCCGTCCCTCTCCTCTCATGAGTCTTCAGGCCGATCCCATCCATCTCGTTGAGGAGCACAGAGAGAAGACGAGTCTGTACGCTGTTTGGTGTTTGACTGTGTGACCGCGAGCCAATCAGTGAGTCAATCTCATCGAGGAACAGGATGCTTGGAGCGCAGGCCCGGGCCTGATGAAACAGCTGCATGTGGACAGACAGACGCAGGGCTTAGTGGACGAAACACAAGGGAGGACACAATCATTAATGCTCATCTGTTCGAGATTATAAAGAGGAAGAACCTGAGCTAAAGCCTTCTCTGAATCTCCGACGTAGGGAGAGTAGAGGTCAGCGCCACTGACAGACAGGAAGGCGCAGTTGGAGGAAGTAGCGGCAGCCTTGACGAGCGTCGTCTTTGCGCATCCCGGAGGCCCGTACAGCAGCACACCTCGAGGTCGACACAGACCCAGACGAACGAAGGCCTCAGGGTGCGCCATCGGCCACTCGATGCTCTTTGACGTGGAGACAATGAGGGAAAATAAACCTCCAGTAATAAGGTTTTTTCTCCGAATACATAAATGTGCATTTTTGAGCAAAGCCACTCAATTAGCTACCTGTCTTAGTTTGAGTTTGACGTCATCCAGGCCTCCAATTTGCTCCCAGGTCACCGGAGAGAGCTCCGTCCTGCCCATGCTGCTCCTAAGGCAGGAGGGACGCACCGACTTCAAAGCCTCATGGAAGTGCTTCATACTCACCAGCTGCTCCCCAGAACACTGCAGACAGTGTGACAGAAACAGCAACAGGTTTTTACAGCTGTCATCCACTCAGTCTCCCTATTATTTCCTATGTAATCTTTCACACAAGAACACATTCACTGTGAGCCTTTTGAGATGAATTTCTAAATGTGATTCTTATTCAGGCTTCAACTTTGACTTTACAATTACAACACAGCTGCACAATTTGCAATAAAGTGAGTCGTTCCTGTGGCAAAAAAGCAAAAACTAGTGTTTTGTTTCGCTGTGGTTACTTTGGAGTCTTCCCGTATAGCGTGCATGGCGGCCTCCCGGCACAGGGCACTGAGGTCTGCTCCCACGTAGCCTATAGTTGTTTGTGCAAGCGCTGTCTGGTTCACACTGGGACACACAGGCATCCTCTCACACAGGACAGACAAGATGGCCTTTCTCTGCTGCAAGGTTGGAGCTCCGATTATAATCTGTGGGAAAGACGAACACTCAGAGACTAACGACTCACATACACATATCTGCACCAACTCACCGACCTGGACAGATATTTTATATAAAAGTAAAAAAGATACATCTTGCCTTATAATCAGAAAAAACAAACAAAAAAACCCCCAGCTGAAACCAATTGAAGCATTACAAATGTCATCTTTCTCAAGAAAAATTAAAAACACTGGATCCGTGACAGTGAGCGGACACGCACCTCTCTGTCAAATCTTCCTGGCCGGCGCAGTGCTGGGTCTAAGCTGTCGGGCCGGTTGGTGGCTCCGACGATGAGGAAGCGGTCAGACCGATTCATCCCGTCCATGAGTGTGAGAAGCTGAGCAACCAGCCGGTTCTCCGGTGCCGACGAGCTGGTTCTCCTCGGACACAGAGAGTCCAGCTCGTCTAAGAACAGCACACAGGGACCCTCATCTGCTGCAGATCGAGCACGCTCGAACACGGCCCGCAGCGTCTCCTCGCTCTCACCCGGCCGAGCCCCCACCACCTGAAATTATTGTTCAGAATTACTGGTAATGCATTTACACGCAAAATGCTTCGTGTATTACGAGGAACATTAGACGGCATCAACATTATGATGACGTGTGTTTAGTATCGTCTTTTTTACCTCTGGCCCTCTGACCACCACCAAGCTGGCTCCCACCTCACCCACCACTTGGCGGACCAGCAAGGTTTTGCCTACACCTGGAGGCCCCACCAGAAGCACCCCTCTGGGACAGGATACACCGAGAGAGCTCAGTGTGCTTGGATAGAGAAGTGGCAGCTTCAGCATCTCTCTAAGTGATGCAGACACCTAAAATGTTGTAAAAAACAAACAAACCAAACAAACAAAAAGGCCACACACATTAGGTGTTGCACAGTGGGGAAAAAACTCTGTTAGGGGTCATTTAAATGAATTCACCTCCTCCAGCCCCCCCAGCTGCACCGTGTGCCGGTCCTGCAGTTGACTCCTGTAATGTCGGAGTGTCTGGATGCCAGCAATCTCAACAGCAGTCTTCGAGGTGATGAATCCAGCACTATCCGACTCTGGACTTATGCTTTCAATAACAACATATTTGATCTCTGTGTCGAAATCCTCCAGGTTTATTAAAAACCCATCATGGACACAAACACCTTTAAGCATGTCTTTTACAAGCTCATGAACAAGGCGATGCGGTGTGCGTTTCCTGAAATCGACACTCTGGACTATCACGGTTATCCTGACGCCTTTCAGTTTGGAGCAGATCACAGGTGTGAGCTGAGCGGGGTCCAGGCTCAGGTGCGAGGGGAGCTCAGAGAGAAGACTGGGGGAGAAACATTTCAGGTCCATCTGCAGGAAGCCCTCTGCCAAGTCAGCCCGGGGCCAGGCAGTGCACAGGCAGCTTCCTCCGGAGACAGACACCAGCAGAGGGGAGCCCAGGTGCACACCCAGCGCCGACATCATGCCCGGACCAAGCCTGCATCTCTGAGAGCCCCGGTCTGACGGATCCACGGAAAGCAGCCTCAGAGGCTCCATACTCCACCTGATGAGGAAATACAGACAGACACGCACGTAACGTTAGTGAAGCAGAGAGACGAAGCAGAAACTCAGAGGCAGCATAAAACTTCACCGAGGCTACATGCTACATGCTAGCCGGTAGAGCTTCTTTTAGCGGCGCTAAATGGATAAAACTCTGACTAAGATGGGTCTAAGCCAAAGAGGTTTACGTACCGGAAACGGCTGAAACCAGCCGACAGCAGCCAAACAATCAGAAATAAAATGGGTGATAATACCAACAATATACTACACAGAACATATCAACTCCTACTTGACTGTTTACAAAATCCATGTGGCATTAAAACAACATGGCCAACCAAAACAGCCTCCTGCGTGAGGTGACGCTAATCTTCCGAAATACAGTATATAAGACATAAAGAGAGTTTTTACAATTTTAGTGAACATAAAAGTCAATATTTGGAATGTTTAAGAATATTTATTCTTCAACACAGTCTGAACTCTCTTAGTCAGGTTTTCTTGTAATTTCTTTACGTAGTCTTCAGGAATAGTTCCCCAAGCTTCTAGACAGACATTCAAAGCTCTTCTTTGAATGTTGGCTGCCTTTTGTTCTGTCCTCTGTCAAAGTGATCCCACACTGCTTCAGTAATTTTGAGGTCACATGAAACTCTCACGTCCTGTGTGAGGCCTTTACTGTTTTCCCCCCGTTTCTTAAGGACATTGTTTTTTAGATAGAATTTGTCTGCTGCATTTTTTTTTGTCACTTCTTCTGTTGTTCTCCACTTGTCGATCCAATTTTATGCCTGTCAAACTTGTTATCTTTGGCTTTAATTCATAAATTCAACCGAACAAATGAGAACAAATGATGTGTTTTGTGACAGGCTGCTGGTCTAAAGTGTCTAAAAAAAAGATTTGAAATTGGTTCTTTGCTAAATTGTCTGTAATGTGTAGACACAACGCTGGTTCATCTCTTGAGTAAGGTGCCTTTTTATGCTTGAATGATTCATAAGTCAGAGTTAGGTTAGCTTAACAAAAAACACTCCACTGAAAATGGTCAGGTTTAAGGATTGGAATGAAAATAAGTGAAAAAGAATTTGCCATAAACAACAATCATTAGAAAACTATGGATAAGATACTTAAAAAAAAAACCTACCTGCTAAAAAAGACCTATTATTGCGTGAATAAATGTTTGTTTCAATATTCCCTCATTATTTTTCTTCTTTGTCGTCTTTGGCTGCATGTTTTGTACTGAGGTTATTCCGCAAATATCAAGTAAACATTAAAAAAGGTGACACGTGACAGGGACTAACAAAGAGAGGGAGCAGTAATAGTTTTTGCCGTCCAACCATTTACAGGTGGGACAGCGTTCTCTGACTCTCTGGCGTCACCTTGTGTGCAGAAACGAAAATGCTCACTGGCCGAATTAACAACACCGACACCAGGTTGTCCCCAATTATTTGTGCCCAAGATAGACTGAAAGTGTTTGTTCTTACTGATACTGTTTTAACAGCTACTTTATTGCACAGTAAGGACCATAGCCGGTCGGTTCATCCGCTCTAAAATAAAATGACCAGCCAGTGTCTTCCTACCCGGGCGTCTTAATCCAGCCCTTAATTCTGTGGGAGTGAGGCAGTGTATCAGCCTGCGCAGGGCCTGAAGGAGTTTAGCTGCTTCAGAGGTGGTGATGACTGAAGTCACGTGGGCTTACTATTTATACTCAAATAGTCCGGCAGTGATAAGGAAACTGTGGAAGGTCGTCTGTCTCTCCTTGCAAGCAGACGGGAAGGATTTTGGAGGTATAGGAACCTCGCAGGTGACACTGCTGTTAAACCCGCTCTTTAAGGAAACCTGAAAGGCAAGTGTGAGAACAAGCAAGTCCATCAGCCGGTCTTTGAGTGTGTGACTAGATTACTGGAGAATGAGGAGCAGTGATTTGACTGTGATTCAGTAAAATGAATGAATGAATGAATGAATGAATGAATGGGAGGGAAGGTAAACAACAAAACGTTGTTGTGACTCAGAAATCAAAACATCAACCAAAGTATGACAAGTTTCCACAGTCATGTGTTTTATTTTGTCTTTCTGGTTGTGGCATTGTTTGTCTTTATATAGGACAGACCAACATTTGTAAACACCACATTTTTTCCAGTCTTGACTGTATCTGAGCTGTCCCCCCCTCCAGCCCCCCCTTTGTTATCTGCACACTGGTTGCTCTTCTCCGGCTCACAACAACCAGGCCACACTTGGCACACTTTCCCCCCTGTGCCGTCATAATTCCAGTTCTCGCGAAGAGAAGCCTGGAGTGTGTAATCAACCCCGTGCTCTGCGTGTGTGTGCGCGGCTGAAATGTCACTCTGCTGTTTGTAGGCCTCGCAGCACACACAGTCTGAGTGTGTGACTTGGGGAAAGGGGGGCCCGGGACTTGCTTTGAGGGTATTTTTAAAAAATTATGTTCTTTTTTATTTGATAGCAGATGTAGTAGTGTCGCCTTATCGCCAACCTCTCCTTCTCCTTGTTTGTGTTCGTAATCAAGAGCTTAGGAGCCTCAGGGCGGACGCTCAGCAGCCATGTCGACCCTTCTCCGCTGCATCTGTAGCTCCTCTGTCATTCTGTCCCAGCGAGGGGTCAATCTGAAGTTCCCTGGAAGGAGGCATTTCAGGACTTTCCCTGTGTTAAGGGACCAAAAGGCCTCCAGAGGTAGGAAATTTACAAATCTCTCTGCTTCACTTTACAGTGTTCTCACAGAGGACAGGCTGGGCTTGCGTGCTTTCTCTTGTCTGACTTGAGGAATGAGAGCGTAACGGTTCACTCAAGGACAAGCTCCGGCCGGCCAAAGGAGTGGAAAACTTCCACTGCAGATCACAAACTGTTTGCAGCAGGTTGCTAGAGATGTTCTCAAAATAGGGAAAGCTGCTATAAAGCAGACGGCGGCTTTGCTCGTGAGAGCTGCTAACATGTGAGAGCGGACGAGAGGTCAGTTAAAGGTGACATGTAAAAACTTGACAGCAGTGCGGCTGATTCTGATGACAGCCTGTACGGAGCCGGTGCTGTGTGCGAGGCACACGGCACAGTGTTCGTCAAAGTTTTGAGTTGCTGAAATCTTTTAAGTTTGGCTTTGGAGTGTGTCTGCATAGGACTGCAGGGCCTCTGTGTGTGTGTGCTGGCCTGGTGCCAATCACCTGCTAAAATGTCTCCATGGTGGCGAGGTCACCACACCATGTAGGGAGAGAAATGTGTAACCTGACACTGTTTCCAGCAACGCAAATCTCAGCTGTACGCGCATGCCTGCTGCGTTGTTGCGTAAACGAAGATAAACGTATGTCTTGTTGTGTATATTTTTTTTGGGGGAAAAAGTCCAAAGTCCTCAACCCCCGCCGCAATGGTTTAATTCCCCCCTTTCTTTTTTTTCTTTTTGTTTTGTTTTTTTGTCCTCAGGTGTCCTCTACAAGGACCTGGTGGTTGGAGTTCCTAAGGAGACGTTACAGAATGAGCGTCGCGTGGCGCTGTCTCCGGCTGGGGTGCAGGCGCTGGTCAAACAGGGCTTCAGGGTGCAGGTGGAAAGCGGCGCCGGGGACGAATCAAAGTTCTCAGATCAGCAGTACAGAGATGCTGGAGCCACCATTACTGATGTTAAGGGAGCCCTCGGCTCAGACTTGGTCCTTAAGGTTCGTACCCGGCACGCTTTGGTCCGCAGATCAGACTCTTCTTTGCAGCTTCACAGCTCAGAATCACCACCAATCTTCTTAAGGCCTCATATTATAGACTCATCTCAGTGCAGCATCTGACACCAATGATCACTTTGAGCTTCCTGATATGTTCCAGTCAAAGTAACCACTCTCCTCTGGTTTGAGTAACACTTGGCTAATGAGTCTTCCTCACAGACAAAAGTTCATTATACAGTTCCACAGGATTCTGTTCTAGGGCCTGTGCTTTTCACCTTATACATGCCACTGTCAGTGTTAAGTGTTATTATGAAACAAATTAGCCTTTCTGTGCAGTCAAAGCTCAGCTGTATTTATTTATGAAGCCAGATGACACACATTAGCTGGTTAAAAGAGACTTATAATACTTATTTCAAATTCAAAGCTATTCCACTAAAGCAGCTTTAAGGACTCGTAGTTCAAAATATTCCTTCATTATCTTAAACTGTGTCTTATTGTCGCTCCTCAGTTTAGCTTCCGTCTTTCTTCAGAGTGGCTGGAATAAGAAAGTTTAATCCATTTACAGGTGGGGCTCACAGCCAGGGGTCTTGTGTATTAAAAGTATTTGCTCTTGAGGACATCGTATACAGCTTAGGGAGGGTGGGTGGGAACTTTGTGAACATGAACACTGATGTTTTGATTTGCTGCTACATAAGCAAACTAGATCCACATATCTGTCAGTTATATTTAATTGTGAGTGGAAAAACATTTTTTTTTTCTTTTTAGGTTCGAGCCCCCAGTTTGAGTGAGGTAGATCTCCTGAAACCCAAATCCACCCTGGTGAGCTTCATCTATCCAGCACAGAACCAGGAGCTGATGAATAAGCTGTCACAGAGGCAGAGCACTGTGCTGGCCATGGATCAGGTGCCCAGAGTTACCATTGCACAAGGCTACGATGCACTCAGTTCCATGGCTAACATTGCTGGGTAAACAAAAATGTATTTTTAAGTCCAGATTTCATCTGTTTGTTTAGTTAATGTAAATGTGACTTGAGTTTTTGTTATGTAGGTACAAGGCTGTGGTTCTGGCTGCCAACCACTTTGGCAGGTTCTTTACTGGTCAGATTACAGCTGCAGGAAAAGTACCTCCAGCTAAGGTAATAATCTATGTTTTACTCAACCAAGCATGATCTATTTCGACAGTCAGTACAGCGTTTTATTTCCTTTCAGTATACTTAAAATAAAAAATGAAGTGTGAAGTGAAACCTTAGTACATTTGGGTGTTTCTGTTGTAAACAGGTCCTGGTTATTGGAGGTGGAGTGGCTGGTTTGGCAGCAGCCGGGGCAGCTAAGTCAATGGGAGCCATAGTCAGAGGGTTTGATACCAGGTATAAGGTTGGCAACGCCTCAAACTGCAGGCTTATTAATGATGGACAGAATTTTGCTGATAGGCTAGCTGCTTCTTGACTTTCAGGCCAGCTGCTCTGGAGCAGTTCAAGTCGTTTGGGGCTGAGCCTTTAGAAGTAGACCTCAAAGAGTCTGGCGAGGGTGTTGGCGGTTATGCCAAGGAGATGTCAAAGGAGTTCATCGAGGCTGAGATGGCTCTTTTTGCCAAGCAGTGTAAAGAGGTCGACATTGTTGTCAGCACTGCCCTGATTCCCGGTGAGTCACATCGGTACTTTAAGCCACTTTTGCCTTTATCGTTTGGCATCAAAAGTTTCATCACTGTTTGCTTTTATTTCATCTTTTCCACAGCAACACTGAACGTCAATTAGAGATAAACATATGAAATATTGCTCTGCAAGTGTGCTGAGAATTTCACTCGCTGTTGGCTTATTTTATTTAATCTAGCAGCTAAGGACTCAGTAGGCTTGGTGGGAGTTGGTCCTAAACATAAGCAACGTATAATTTTATCTGCTGACACTGAGTAAATTGTCTGCTAGTCTGCCCCTCACTCATCACTTTCAAAAGAGGTGGCGATGGTGAAAAGCCTCCGCTTTGGACTTTGCAACTAGATCTAACTAACCAACGTATGATGGCACAGCGGCCTCACCCAATTTTTCTATACTGTCTATGGCTTAAGCCCCATCAACCCCATAATGTCGCTTTCATGAGGGTCACTACATCTTTAATATGGATTGACTATCCTCTTTGTTAGACAGCATGATGCTGTTTGATGCATCTCATTCCTTTCTACCTGTGGTCCTATGCTCACTCAGGGAAGCGTGCACCCATACTGATCAAAAAGGAGTTTGTAGAGTCTATGAAGGATGGCTCTGTAGTGGTGGATCTAGCTGCAGAGGCAGGGGGCAACATCGAGACCACAAAGCCCGGACAGCTGCATGTTTACAGGGTACGTTTTGGCCTAGTTTGGATAAACTGGATAATTTTAAGGAATGCAAAAGATGTATTTCTGATTTGGGATATATATGATTTATTTATGTATGAATAATGTACTTTTTTTGTTAACTAGGGAGTAACACACATCGGCTACTCAGACCTGCCCAGCCGCATGGCCACCCAAGCCAGCAGTCTATATTCAAACAACATACTGAAGCTTCTGAAGGCCATTAGTCCAGACAAGGAATACTTCCACTATGAGCCCAAAGAAGAATTTGATTATGGAACAATTGACCACGTCATCCGTGGGACTCTTGTTATGAAGGTGGAGTTTTGTTTTTTTTTCGTGTGACTGTCTCCTGTCAGCTTCCATCCCCACTGGCATCCCTCCTTCCCTCTCAGCATGCGCTGTCAGATCCTGTCATGCTTGGCTAGAGCGCCAATTGAGTACCAAAACAGAGTCCCAGCTGGGAATAGCTCAAGTTGGATCCCAGCAAGAATGTTATGAACGTTTCAAAATACACTTTTCCAGGAATTTAGCTTTGACACATTGTTTATGGCAGAATAAGCACGCAACCTCAATAGGACATATCAGCTTACCTCTTGTTACACTAAGCATTATTCAGCCCCTTAAAGGAGAATTTATCTTTCAAAACCACTGCTAACTGGTTCGTGATTGCTTTTTTGTTTAGCGTAATCCCCTGTGCCGTCAACGAGTTCGTGTTCGAGAGCTCTCCCACTGTGCGAAAGTCTTGATGTCTGTTTCTCACGCAAATCTTTTGTGGACTCCTCTGTCTTCACTCTGGTCTTCTTGTGTGTTTTCTGGTGTATTCAGGAAGGCAAGAACATGTTCCCATCACCCCTTCCAAAAACAGTCCCGCCATCTCCGGTGAAACAGAAAACGGTCGCAGAGTTGGAGGCCGAGAAAGTGGCGTCCGTTTCGCCCTTCAACCGCACCATGACCTCTGCTGGTGTCTACACTGCAGGTTAAACACAAACGCAGAAGTATTCAGACTTCTGGGACATTTAGCACTGCTTTATTTGAGAGGATTTGTTCTGTGTAAAAAATTAATTTGTACTGAAATTAAAGCATGCAAATAATCCAATTAAAGTAAAATGTCAATTTTCACTATCTTTTGGTTTAAATCAGGGGTGTCCAACTCCAGTCCTCGAGAGCTACTGTCCTGCAGCTTTTAGACGCATCCTTGTTCCAACACACCTGAATCAAATACTGGCTTGTTATCAGGCCTTTGCCAAACTGGATGGCATGCTGAAAAGAGGTAATCCAACCATCTGATTCAGCTGTGTTAGACTAGGGATGCATCTAAAAGCTGCAGGACAGTAGCTCTCGAGGACTCAAGTTGGACACCCCTAGTTTAAATGGTTTGTGTTAGTGTGACATTAATATTAGACAAAGATAACTTAAGTAAATGCAGAAGTTTTTAAATGATTATTTCATTTATTAAGGAAAAAAGCTACCCAAACCTACCTGGCCTTCCAGGTAAAGGTTAAAACTATCTTTGGAAGATCTGAGTCCAGTTACATCTGGCATACACAGCCTTTCATGAAAAGAACATCATACCAGCAATCAAACATGGTGGTGGTGATGTAATGGTCAGGGGTTGCTTTGCTGTTTCAAGACCTGTACAACTCGCCATAACTGATGGAACAATGAATTCTGCTTTCTACCAGAAAATCCTGAAGGAGAATGTCTGGCCATGAGTTTATAGCCCAAAGCTCAAGCACACTTGGGTTATGCAGAAGGACAGTGATCTGAAAACACACCAGAAAGTCCATCTCTTGATGTCTTAAAAAAACAAAATGAAGGTTTTGGAGTTGTCTAATCAAATTGTGGACTTGAATCAGATTTAGATGCTTGACCTTAACCTCCTAGGACCTGGCATCCATATATGTGGACATCACATTTTGGGTTGTCTAGACCAAAATACTAAATTTTGCTCTACAAGGGCCTGATATCCACTTACGAGGACATCATGCTGCCACTGTTCAATCGAAATTTAATGTGAATGTCCTCATATGTGGCTCTCATTTTTCTCAGAAACAAAAATCCGTAAAAAAAAAAAAAAGCATAATTCTTTGGGAGCTGATGAATGTAACAACAATCTCCCAAGAGAAATTAAAAATGCATACCATGAAAGAGTTTGGGTTTTAGGAGGTTAAACAGGTTATTCGTGCTCAAATCCTCCAATGTGGCTAAATTACAATTCTGCAAAGAAGAGTGGGCCAAAATCCCTCCAGAGTCACGAGAGACCCATTTCCAGTTTTTGCACATGCTTGATTGCAGTTCTTGCTGCCAAAGATGTTTCAACCAGTTATTACATTTAGGGGGGAGGTGGTTTTTCACATAGACGTTTCAGGTAGGTTGGGATGGCCTTTTCCCCCCTTAAAAACCTGTTTACTCAGGTTATCCAATATTAAAATCTGTTTGATCTGAAACATTTGGGTATGCCAAAAACTAAGAAATGTAAAGTGGGACTACTTTTCTACATAATGGATATGTGCTGGAAACCTTTTGTATGTGGACAAGAAAAGCAATTTGCAATTTAAGCATGTCTCTTTGGGATTTCATTGTAAGATTCATGAGGGGAAAAATCCTTTACTTTCCAGTCTGACTTTGTAATTTTTCCATTTTTAAAACAAGTCATTGTAACAGATCTTACTGTGACCTTTGGAAGCCCCTCTGTAACAGAGCACAGCGATGAATATATTTTTCAGTAAATTCAAACATTTCGCTTCACTTCTTTCAGAGAAACTATGAATCATAATAGCTGGTAATAAAATGACATGTTTATTTGTCTTATTCAGTTATTCCATTCCTTTAATGGTTAAAAAGGGACTGGAAACCAAACTTGAAACTACAGCAGCAGGGAAAGCACAAACATAGCAACAGCAACACTGCCTTGCTCTGTCTCTCTCTCTCTCTAGGCCTGTCTACCTGTCTGGCTCTGGGTATCATCTCGCCCAATGCTGCTTTCACTCAGATGGTCACCACCTTTGGTTTGGGTGGGATAGTGGGATACCACACTGTGTGGGGTGTGACCCCCGCTCTGCACTCACCTCTCATGTCCGTCACCAATGCCATCTCAGGTCAGAACTCATTAAAGTCATAAAAATCTGTATAGATGTGGTGATATTTGAGTGATTCCTTTTTATTTGTTAACAAATTCTTTTCTGTCAGGTCTGACTGCGGTGGGAGGCCTGGTGCTGATGGGTGGAGGTCTCACACCTTCTTCCCTGCCCGAGAGTCTTGCTCTGGCTGCTGCCTTCGTTTCCTCCATCAACATTGCTGGTGTGACATTCAACACTGGACACAAAAATGGCTTCAGTGAACATAAATAATTTCCCACCCAAACAAATGAAAACGGCTAATTCATTAATTTATTTCTGCACCTGTGCAGGTGGTTTTCTGATCACCCAGAGGATGCTGGACATGTTTAAACGCCCCACCGACCCCCCTGAGTACAATTACCTGTATTTGCTGCCTGGGGCTACATTTGTTGGAGGATATGGAGCCTCTGTGGCTGCTGGGTACAGCATCGAGCAGGTGAGACGATGCACATCATGTCATCTCACTCAGATTTGTTTCCACTGACAATCCCCTACTTAATGTAATGTGCATTAAGTAGCTTGACAGTGAAATTAATTGGTTGTAGAGCAGCGGTCCCCAACCTTTTTTGTGCCACAGACCAGTTTATGTCTGACAATATTTTCACGGACCGGCTTTTAAGATGTCTTGGATTAGTACAACAAAATAAAACCTGTACCGGTAGCAAAAAAGTTTTATTTATAAGACACGGGAAAAGACTCAGGGAAACCGAGTTAATGATAAAAACCCTGAAAACCATAAATTTCACACCCGAGCCATAACTCTCGCGGACCTGTACCCAACAACTCGTGGACCGGTACCAGTCTGTGGCCCGGGGATTGGGGACCGCTGTTGTAGAGTATATGGTACTCTGTCTGGTACTTTAGTGTGGTGACCTCTGCTTGCTAGGAAGTGCGTTTAATTTCATGTATAAATCTGTATCTTTCAAAATGAGGATACCATGAAATTAATGCATAATTTAATTTCTATATTTATTAGACTGAAACTGAAATATTATGTTAACTTTAAATATGGCTTACCATTTATGAACATAAATGCAGTTATGTCAGTTTAATAGAAAAGTTAAGCGCGATCAAAAAAGGATTTCAAATACAGAAATGTCCAACTTCTGAAGAGTGTGTTCGTTCTTGCTCTCAGTACTTGATTGTTGCTCCTTTGCATGAATTACTGCATCAGGTTGCCATGGAGGCAATCCGCTTGTGGATCTGTTGAGTTGTTTCGGAAACCCATGCTACTTTGTTAGCTTGTCTGTATTGGATCAGGTGTTTCTCATCAGGTCAAGTTATCTGGCCCGTCTTGCACAGTAATAACATGGTCAGCAGGCCATTTGGTACGAGTTTTGGCACTGTGTGAAGGTGACGTGTCCTGCTGGGAAAAGAAAATCAACATCTCCATAAAGCTTGTCAGCAGATGGAAACTTGAAGCTCTCCAAAGCCTCCTTGCAGACAGCTGCACTGACTCTGGAGTTGATAAAACACAGTGGACCAACTATCAGCAACACCGGCAGATGATGTGGCATCTCAAACCATCAGACTGCAGGAAATTCACTCTGGATTTCAAACACCTCGGCTTGTGTGCCTCTTTGCGCTCCCCCCAGACTCTTGGACCTTGATTTAGAAATAAAAAGCGAAATTTACTTTCATCTGAAAAGAAAGGCTTCGGACCACTGCACAATAGTCCAGTAATTTGTCAGATTGACCCAGGTAAGATGCTTTTTGACTTTGTCTCTGATCTTTGTTTGATCTTAGGAAGATCAAACCCCAGCCTCAGTCCACTCGTTCTCCAAAGCTCTTGAATCAACTTCTTTTTTAACAAACCTCTCAAGGCTGCAGGCGTCCCTATTACCTGTGGACATTTTTCTTGTTACTACCACACTTTTCCATTTCAGCCAACTTTCCATTAACGTGTTTTGATGTGCTATATTAATGACTTTCTATGAAAAAAGTCAATGATCCTGCTTGAGAAGAGACTCAGTGATAATCATCTATACAAGTGTCCAGTCAGCAGTCTTCTCCATGATTGTGGTTGTGTGTATTAAGTAGGCTGAATCATTTACAGGTATTTATACTGTTCTTCTACTGACATATTTCTTTGAGTCTACAATATGTAAATTTTTCACTTGTTGTAACTAACTGATGGGAAATACTGAACTTCTTTTAAATATTTGAATTTTCTGAGATGCATCTGGTTAGAGACCTCCAAGGTGAAGTGTTTGGGCATGCTGTACTGGGAGGATCTCTCAGCTGGTTTTGGAACGATGTGCCCTAGAGAACCTATTAAGCTTTTTATATTTTTTTCTCTCTCACATAGATTCTGTTACTGCAGTAGTGGATGTGTTTTAAACATGTGTTGTTGTTGTTGTTGTTGTTGTTGTTGTTGTTGTTGTTTTTGTCCTTTCTACTCTTGGCTCTGCATGATGTCAGTGAGATGGGGAAACTCTCATTATGGTCATGTCAGGTACACAGTTCTGGCTTGAGCACAGAAACCAACCCACCTGCTATTCATATCTTTTCTTTAAGGGAGTTCACTGTGGGGCTGCATCAAGGCCTGGTAGAGGCTATATAGGGATTTTCTTTAAGTGTGAGCCATGCAAAGATATTAAGTAGAATGTAAGACTATTTAAAAAAACAACAACAAAAAAAAACAAACTCTGTAGATTAACAGACTGGGTCCACTTTGATGTCAGGTCTAGATCAGAAGCTTTCATTTGGAATTGCCTCTCATCTTTAAACTAATTTTTATCCTGCTTCTCGATTCTTTGATGACCTAAAGATGACTTATTGATCCATTCTCAACACGTAGCTATGATAAAATGCTGATTCTCACTTTTTCTCCTCAGATGATGTACTTGGGCTCAGGTTTGTGCTGTGTCGGGGCGCTGGCCGGCCTGTCTACCCAGAGCAGCAGTCGTTTGGGGAACGCCCTCGGCATGATGGGAGTGGCAGGGGGCCTTGCTGCCACCCTCGGTGCCCTCAAACCCTCACCGGAGCTGCTGTCTCAGATGTCTCTGGCTATGGCCGGTGGGGGAACCCTGGGTAGGTGGCTCCATGCAACTAAAATGGATATCATGATATTGTGTTCACTGATGTTTCTTTACTTAAACTGCCCCCCCCAAAAAAACTCTTGTGCTGCAAAATGCCCACTGTAGCTTCACAGCGCTTCTAATTTGGTCTTGGAACAACTCAAGTGGTATGCCCTGCTGTTTCATTGGGTCATGTGAAGGAGACTTGCAAATAACGTAGCACCTCAAGGTTTCAGTTTTCAATAAAAAATAAATTGATAAAGTTTCAGCATGACTCCTCTGAAGTCTAGCGGTTGTTTCGTTATTAGCTTTGCATGCAGCTCCTCCAGTATTGCTAATTCATAACATGCATCAATCACTCTGTTGTACATGTTAATTGTAATTTAAGAAGCAGGAAGATGAATGGCAGTGTAATCATCCTAAGAATGAGCACATACACACAGCATTAAGTGCTGCTTAGTTTTCAAGAAAACTCAATAAATCCTCAACTTTGAACTCCTAGGATTACCTTTTGAAGAACAGGCCCCATAACTAGAAGCAGGTGTCTGCCTTTTAACCATTTTTTCCCCTTTTTTCTTTCTTTCTTTCTTCTCCTTTTCTTTTAATTTCATGTTGTTTTTTTGTTTGTTTGTTTTTCAATGCCCTAAATGTTTCTAGCAGTCAGACTCTGCCAATGTGCATGCGAAGTGTAGTTCTGGTGTTTGACTTTTTTGGCTGCTTTTTTAAAAAAAATGTTTTTTTACTTTCTTCATATCTCAACTACAGGTCTGACCATTGCCAAGCGTATTGAAATCTCAGACTTGCCCCAGCTTGTGGCAGCTTTCCACAGCCTTGTGGGCCTGGCGGCTGTTCTCACATGCATTGCCGAGTATATGATTGAGTACCCTCACCTGGATACTCACCCAGCTGCAGGTGTGCTCAAGACTGTGGCTTACCTGGGTACTTACATCGGAGGCGTCACATTCAGTGGATCACTGGTGGCCTATGGCAAGCTTCAAGGTAATCAATCTGACACTAATCTCTCATTTGCACATTGTTAGTCCAGATCTGACAAGGTCAGTCCCTGTGAGATCTGACCATAGCTCTTCTTATTACACACAAATCTCTATGAAAACACATCAGGTTGTCTGGCCGGCTGCTGATTGTTCCTTTCATCTACTGAAAGCCAAAGATCCCCTCTTAAATCCAGGAGTTTCTTTGTAAGTGTCAGCACTCTCTAATTTGCGCTTTAGGCCAACCAATCAAGAGGAACACATGAGAAGCTCTCTGGTAATTTGTTATGGGAAGGGCAGGCCAGTGACTGGATGGCTGTGGTTGGTAGAGGGTTGCTGGCTGATTTGTGGATGAGACAGATGCTCAGACAGCTGATTAGAGGCTTTCGCAGATAAGTCTGAGGGTTCAAAGACACCTGACACTGGTTAAAGAGAAGCACGCTCACTTTTTTTGTCTTGTTCCTTTTAACCCCTACAAAAGTGTGAGAACACTCTCTTCCCTCTCTGAAAAATGTGTTTTTTGGTTGTAGGTCTTTTGAACTCTGCCCCCCTGCTGCTACCTGGACGGCACATGCTGAATGCCAGTCTGATGGCAGCATCTGTTGGAGGCATGGTGCCCTTTATGCTTAGTTCCAGTTATGGTACTGGCATGGGGTGCCTGCTGGGAGTGTCTGGGCTTTCCACTGT